ATCAGGACTTCGCCGTTGTATGGCACTAGTACAGTGTACCATGTCAAGTGTGCGTGAAGGGCCACTTTTTACTGGATGGCTTAGTGACGGAAGGATGGCGTCCAGGTCGGTGGGTTCGGTCGTGTTCTTGTATGAGGGTTGCAACAGCAAGGTACACTTGTACCCGAGTGCAGTGGAGTAGGATGTCGGCCGTGAGCATACCACACTTTGCAGTTTGGATCGCGTGTGGCGAGAGGTGCATACCGACTTCTGGCTGGCAAGTACCCACACTTTCGCAGCTAGTCGACCACTGAGCGATACGATTCAAGTTGCAGTCATAACAGCCAAACGTTAGCGGTCGGCGCGCGCAGCGGCGGCAAAGAGGCGGTCGTTGTTCCTGTGAGCACTCTGCTCGGCGTTTGTCCGATGACAAGTGCTCCAGACAACTTTTCCACGTCAACGTCGCGCCAAGGGTAAATAAGAAAAAACATTCTTGTTCACCCGTGGTCGCGCGATGAGACCATGTGGCTCCAGCGGCACGCAAATGCGCACTTGGACATCAGCGATCTGCCAAGCCGGTGACGCGCTTCCCGTGAGGTCGTTGCACAAAGATTGCGTCAGCCACGCACGCAGCACCGACATTGTCAGGATCTCTTTCATACATACGCAAAATGAGTACTACTGCAGTAGCCAAGGAACGTGCAACAAAGTGGAACGAACTACTACTGCTAGAGAAAACGAGCTCGATTGTAGACACTAATGGCAGCTCAACCACAGTTTGTATGGCCCTACGTGCGAATTGAAGTTGCACCCTGGAAAGTCTGTACACTATTTCGCCTGTACACCACTCTTCATCGCAGCTCTCATGGCGAAATATCAGCCGTTCGGTCTCGGAGGGCTCTTGCCGACGGCGATTGGAATGCCACCAGGTCGATGCGTCCCGATTGTCGACACCAAAAGGCTTGGCGGGAAATAAGAGCATTTCTATTTTCGCGCGTTTTCATTATTTTTAGACCTCAACGACACTGTCTATCATATTCACTTTGATACTCGCCATGCAATCCAACACGATCAAGGGCAAGTACGAAGCTGCCATCAACAAACTCACATGGGACACCAAGTTTGTGTCGACGTACACACAGCGATACATCACCGACCCGTTCCTCCGCATCAACGGGATCTCAGAGTACATTACGTGGCCGCTGACAGAGCGCCAAGACGCTCAAATCGCGTCTCTCTACAAAAACGACGTCATTCCTGCCTCGGATTTCCGCATCAACAACCACGTGGGCTGGAACGCGTTTCTCGACGACGTGCTAGTCAACGTCCGCAAGGACTTTGACCAAGAGCACGTGACCGCGACGCTCTCCCACCTTTGTTTTGATGCACGTGGCTCGTCCAGCGCACTCGCTCCGAGCGCAGCGGTGCCAAACACGCTCGGTGTGCTCATCGTATGGCTGCCGTCACGGTACCTAGGCAGTCGCCTCGTCTTTCAAACCGATCGTCGCAGCGAGACGATGGACGACACGCTGCTGCCCACGACGACCTTGCAGTGCTTGGCCACCTACTTGAGCACACAAGTGGTCTCGACACAGATCATGTGGGGTCGCCGCGTTGCGCTCGTCTACAACTTGGTGTGCACGAAGCCCCAGTACGGGTTTCGGACGGCGCCAGAGACACAAGAAGCGGCGACCGCCGCGCTGATGGAGATTGCAAAGGAGCCGTTCCAGCGACACCCGCTCGTGTGTCGGTACATTGCCAAGCCATCAGGACTCTCGTTCGAGAAGCTATCCGTGGAAGACGCAGCTCTCGCGGATGCGTTGCTCGCGACTGGATGCTACGACGTTGCGCTGGCCACCGTCGAGCGCAGTGGTGACATTGACCCGCTCGCATGGGGTGTGTACAAAACAGAGGCAGATGTGATCGTCCGCTGCATCACGCACCCGGACTGCTCGATGCCACGTATTGTCTGCTGGAATCTCGTCGGCATGCCCATCGACTTGTGCTTGGAGCTGGCCTCGTATACGCACGGCGCAGAGGCGCTGATTTTTTGGCACAAGCGATACCGCGCCTTGCTGGCCGGCGCGCATTGCGTGATGTCGTCGGTGTACAACATCATCGTTGAAAAGAGAGAGCGAGCACCGCTTGAGATCGACTCGACGCGGGAGTTTCTACTGGGCGCCATGTCGATGTTCACGCACGAGGCGGCGAGTCGCCTCCCGTTTCACATGAACGCCATGGAGTTGATGGGGTCGCTGCTTCTCATCTATGACAAATGGGACCTCGTGCGTCTCTTTGTCGCCCACGTCGTGAGCGTCACGCCGACCACCCCGTTCCATAATAGCATTGGACCCTTTCTGCGCAAGTGCGTGGTGCAGTACGGCTGGGTGCGCCTGCGTCCGGCGATGCTGAGCCTCATT